ATGTAATATTATCTAACTGATGGGATTATTTGCATATTAAAGACACAAAAGGTCATTTTTAAAAATTTTGTTTGTCTGTCTGTCCGAGCTAAGCTTCGAAATGGCTGAACTGAATGTAATAAAACTTCACGTATATACGAGAACAATGCCAGGTGTGATCTAGGCTATATTTAATCCGGAAAAAAATTTTTGTGAAATGAAAAACCTGATCAAATAAGTGGTTTTTGATGATTATTTTGTAACTGAAAGAGTTGCATTATTACACGAAAAAGTCTTTATCTTTTCATTTAAAAAAACTGAATTTTAAATATTCTTTTAAAAGAGCTCCTTGCCCAAAGACCACTATATTGGAGTAGATTTGCTTCTAATCTGATGTTTTTTTAGTTAGGCCCTCCCATAGACCTATTGACCTCTTGGTATAGTGGGCACACTTGGCAGGCAGTCGCAGTATTTTATTTTTCACGCACGCATACACGGACGCACGTACACACACGCACACACACACACACACACACCACGCACGCACGCACGCACGCACGCACGCACACACGCACGCACACACACACACACACACACACACACACACACACACACACGCACGCACGCACTCACGCACTCTCTCGATAAATGTTAAGCACCTGGGTAATAGCTAGGCACCCCAACATGACTATATTAAATTACTCCCTGGGGTCGCTTCACCACTAATGTATGAAAAGTTTGTTGATAAATGAATAATATATATGTATATATATATATATATATATATATATATATGTGGCCGTGAAAGGAAAAGGGGGAGATGTTCTATATATGCTGTTTATGATTCGAATGTTGATAGCGTGATTTAAGCTTCGGCGTGTTTCGCTTGCGGCGCGACGACAGCGCCGCCACATCACCCCCCGGCTCAGACCGGAGGTCGATAGTGCAGTCCGATTGCCGGTGTGTCCTTTTAATGCCGGTGGGGAATGCATGCTGTGTGCGTATATTCTCAGTAGTGAATGGTAGGGGTTCTTGAGGATAATGACGAAGGTTTGACAGTTGTAGTTTCCGAAGGTTGTTGGTTGCGTGTTCAGATCATGTCGGGGTCACCACTGTGGCCGTGAAAGGAAAAGGGGAGATGTTCTATATATGCTGTTTATGATTCGGAATGTTGATAGCGTGATTTAAGCTTCGGCGTGTTTCGCTTGCGGCGCGACGACAGCGCCGCCACATATATATATATATATATATATATATATATATATATCGCGATACGCTTGCTACAATTTGAGAAATAGGATACTTTTTACGCCAATAAGTGTCCCTCAAAATTTTTATTGCGAATTTTTTTTAAAACTAAAGTATAAAGGGTCTTTGGAAAGGTAAGAGCAAAGTCTGCCTGGCCAGTTAACAAAAATATATAAAAATGTGCTTTAGAAATAAATGAGATATAATAAAATAGGAATATATTATACAACAAAATATAGATAAAACTCTATCAGATGGCAGCCCTCGTCGTCATTACTGACGTCGTCATAGGTAGCCACCACGCGGCACAGATATAAAAATACTTTAGCTAGAAACTAAATATTTCATCATTTTATGTTTTCGTAAACGGGTTAGACTATGAAACAATTGGTACGGAGAGAGTAATATCACAGTTTTTTCAAATTGTATAGCTGTGAAAAACAAAAACAAAAGTAAGTTTATGATGAAAGTGATAAACATTGTGTAAACATTATGTATGAACAAATACAAGCTATAATGATACCAGTTCCTCGACTGCACACAGTCAGTCCCAAAAATCAAGGTCTCATTAATAAACAAAAATCGTATGAAAAGGGTTACTAAAATATAAATGAATACGAACATATGGTTGTTAATAACCACTGCTCTCTCTTTCAACTGCTTTCAAGCTGTTTCATTAGTAAGTTTGGTAAGTAGTTTGTAAAACCTGTGTTGTTTGTGGTACAATTTTTCTTTGAAAAAAGTATTTTTTATAGGAGGCTATAATTTTTTATACTGACTCCCGCCGTCTATTAATACGTGCAACGCTTTCTAAGAGTCAGACTTTTAGGTAGGTGTAAGCTCTTTTCTTGAAGGTCTCGAAGTCGTATCGGTCCAGAAAAATTGCCGGTGGTAAACTATCCCACAGAGAGAGGAAAATTCTTAGTAAAACGTGCAGTGGTGGACCGCCAAGCATTCAGATGGTGTGGATGGTATCAGGGCTTTTGTCGCGATGTGCTTTCATGAAATTTGGCGGCTGAGATTAATCCGAACCATTCCTCAGAGCACTCCCCGTGGTAGATACGAAAGAAAATGCAAAGAGATGCAACAAGTCTTCGTAGCGCCAGTGAATCGAGCCGAACGGAACGACTCGGCCGTCAACGATTCGAACTGCTCTGCGCTGGATGCGCTGCGCGATCAAGTACTGGGGAGTCTGGGACTCCCCAGTACTCGATCCCAGAGCTGGTAACAGTATTCCATGTGAGGCGAAACCCGCGCCTTGTAAAGTTACAGGTGTTGTGCGGCATGAAATACTGTCCCGCTCTGTTGAGTAGGCCAAGCTTTTTAGAGGCGAATTTGTCCTTCTCTTCCAAGAAAGCTAGTGATCAAATTGCACATTTCCTCGGGTAGCTCATAGAAAGGGAGCTTCGAAAGAAGCGCATTATGCCAAACCAGATCGAAGGCCTTCGCAATGTCCAAACTGTTGGCCAGGCCTCCCCTTTGGACTCTACTGCCTCCACCCTTCTATGAGTTAGGTAGACCAGAAGATCACTAGCTGATCGAACCCGACGAAAGCCGTATTGGCCGTCACTAATCAGCTGACCACAACAAGACTAATGACGGGATCCCGTCGGGCCCACTCGACTGATGGATGTTCAGAGAGAGGAGGGCTTTGGGAACCAAGCGCTGTATGAACCGCATATCGGGCATTGAGTACACACACCAAGGGATGGTCAGCGGTGTGCTCCCCCTGTCATCAAGAAACGAGTTGAACGCAAAGGAAGAGCCTAGCAGATCAGCTGTCTCATATGCGGCATGGACCAAGAGTCATCCTCCCTGTGCAGAGATGGCTGACAGATGTTCCCTTGAATAGCCTTGGCGAGAGACCAAAATGCACGGGTTTCAGTAGATAGGTGAACTAGTTTCTCGCCAATTCTGCCTATGTGCTTTGATTTTACCTTGGCAATAACTCTTTTGAATGACCTGGAGGCGAATTTATATACATCTTTTTAAGAGCGCTGGTGTTTACATCCCGGGACGTTGATGCATCAGCATAGGGCCGGTAGCCTTCCTGCTCATAGGATGATGCTATTTTACTAAACCATGACAGAGGTCTGCCTCCGATAGATACCACACACAAGTTCCACACACACACACACACACACACAAGTACAAGTTCCATACCCTAAAGTACCATATCAGCTACAGAATTAGCATCAATGCAACGTTGGGATCGTCCAGCGAGAAGCAAACCCAACCCCAAGGGTAGAATGGAAAGAAAGACCGCATTCTATCCGAATTGGCCAATCTATAGAGCCAAACACGGAGGCAGCCTTCAGAATGCAACCACGATTTCTTCGTGAGTGGCACCACACTCCAGAGTAGACAATGATCCCAGGAATAAAGAGAGGCGTCGATGGAGACCTGATATCTGTCTGGATGAGAGATCAGCAGAAGGTCCAACAGGGAAGGTGCATGACCATCCACATCTGAAATCCGCGTAGGCGAAGTAAATTTTCACCATATTCCAAAGCAAAATCATGAACAGATCTCCCTGCATAGTCAGTTAAACGTGAACTGAGCCATTCGTTATCCCGGATCACGATCTCTGCTGTTGGGATCTGCTGTAGCAAGGTATCTGTACTTTTTGGACGTGGTCGATGAGTCGGTTTGTTTTAGCATTACCGCTATGGGACCTAGATGGACAGTTCAAGCTTCAAGACTGCCGAGGCGGCGAGAACAGATATCCTCTCTGACGTTTACGCAAACTCCAGCCACAGGCACAAAGGAGTGTTCCAATTCGTGCCCCGGGTAGAAGAGATAAAAAATCAAAGTATCAGCCGGAAGGGACACCTGCGTATCGGTCAGAAAGAACAAGGCCAGCTTGGCCGTCTCGAGATTGCAGTGGACGGCGTTTAGGCTCGAGTGAAGTCCTTTGATATTGCAGACATTCACGGATAGCGTGGCGGGGGTTCGCCTTGGTCTTTTTGCTCAGCAATTATTGTCTTGAGCGGAATTTTGCACCCCCCAGATACGTGGGGCAGCCTGAGTATCCACGCTCAGGAGTGGAGTAGCTTTGTCGTGGATGCTCAGCGAGCGATTTTCCAGAGGTGCTGGTATCATCTTGGGGTAGTCATATTTAATTCCGCTGCCACGTTGATGGGTGGGGGGAATTAGGCCTCCGGCCACCTGCACTCACTAGGCGAAACGCAGTTGCAGAGCTTCCACTTCATGCTAGTATTCTGTGAGGTCGTGGTACCTAGCACCCCGGCTCGAACCAGACAACAACAAAACAAAAAACCAAAAGCTGCCGCGTGGCTCTACTACTTGAATCTTGTCTCGCTGGGTTTCTTGTTAGTTCTTCACAGGATCGAGGATTTTTTTTCACTTCAGTACTCAAAATTACTTTTAATAGCAATTACCTGTAATCTTTATTCAATAAAAATTATCCTATTCTATTCTAGGTGTTTTTCATTTTATTCGAGGTTTTTTTGATTTTCCAAAGCGGAATTACATATCCTACATATGTACTTACTACTAAAAAAGAAAACGAAACAATAGGATCAAAGCATAGATTATATATATATATAATTATATGATCAAAGTATATTCAGTTGTTCTGGCACCGATTCATGCAGAAAAATATAAATCATTTGTCAAATAACTCGATCACATAAACGTCATGTCAAAATTACGTATAAAAAAATCAAAAAAGATCGTAAAATATTTAACAAAGCATCATGTAAGTACAGAGCGGTTATTCTAGCATGCTTGTGTGAGGTATCTTCATGGTGATGTTGAGAAGTGCCATTATAGCTGCATTCCTTAGCATCCCTAATCCCATCGTCGCTTTCAATGGATTAAGGACCTGGTCCAAGAAAGTTATTTACCAGAAGATTGACCTCTGCACACAATCCTGTTGCAGCCCTATCGTGCCAGGTCTATATTTGAGCAATGCCAAAGCGGCCGTTGACGCGAATATCATCAGATGCCTTAAAATCACCCATGTGCTCACCATTGAAGCTCATAAGATACCAAAGTCAGCTTTCCCCAATCCTAATGTTGCAACACTTTTCATTAGGGCATCTGACTCTCCTCAAACCAATCTCCTGCCCTACTTCCCAATGGCTAACGCATTCATTGATGAGGGAATTAAGAAGGGAAATGTGCTTGTCCATTGTCATTTTGGAGTTTCACGGTCGGCTACAATCGTTATCGCGTATATTATGGCCAAGTACAACTTGAGTTTTGAAGAGGCATTTTCTTACGTGCGTAACAGAAGACGGTTTATCAATCCTAACCCTGGCTTCATAAGTCAGCTTAAGGAATATCAGCGACTGAATTACGACGTTGACGGGTTACTTCGGTTGGAAGCGTATTTGTGTGTTAAAGCAAGGGAACACAAATACAAAATAGCATCCGTGGCGGCGGTTTGTGTTGGTATTATCGTACCATTGGCCGTGTTAATTGCGTGATACGCTGACCTCCCAATTTATGACAGTGTAACTAGTGTAAAAAATAAACCTTGTTAATCAAACTTATTTAAACTAATTATTATTGTCTATCAATCTTCTACAGTTTAGTGTTAAATAAATTAATATAGAAGGCATGTAACCTTTCTTCTGTATATTTATGAGTCCATTACAGTATACTGCAAGACACTAATTTCAAACAGCGTGTGTATTGGCGTTCACAGTGCTAGAAGTCTCGCTACTTTGATGCTATTCTTCGTGATGGATCAGGGTTTTTACAATTGGTATTAGAGATGATGATCGCCTTTTAATGCGGCGTAAGATAATCTACTACGCCATATCATCCCATCGGCGTCAGAGTTGACAAAGAGAAATTAAACATGATATGGGCAGTAGCATAAAAACTGCTGTTGCCAACCCATGGGCAAAGCGTGGCAAGTATATATATTCTCTCCATGAGGCAGTCTATGGGAGTAGCCCATTTTCAATATTTTGAATAATATTATTAGATGTTTTGTTATCATATACCTTTAAACGAGCAATTCTTATATATATATATATATATATATATATATATATATATATATATATATATATATATATATATATATGTATAATCGGAATCTCGGAAACGGCTCCAACGATTTTCATAAAATTTTGTGTCCAGGGGGTTTCGGGGACAATAAATCGATCTAGCTAGGATTCGTTTTTATAAAATGTCGTTTTATCCGTGTTTTAGGCAATAAAAACTGCTACAATATTGTTAGAATAAGAAGGTAAATTTTGACAGTGCATAAACGATTATAAATAGCGCAATTGGGATAACGGGCGGTCACAATATCTTAGTACCCTGGTTCGAGTCCTGTCTTCAGACCGGCTATTTTTAATTTTTTTGAAGTTCCCTTCTTTTTTAGAAAATCTATTATTTCGAGCTCTTTTTTTAGTATTTAAAAATAACAAAAATTTAAATTAAACTAATTGCATTCGTGATTTTTTATTCGAATAGCCAGTTCAGTTTTTCTATTATGTCGCTAAGATCAAAAAATATTATTCGTATTTCATCAGTATCTTTTTTCTTTTTTTTTTCTTTTTTTTTTTTTAAAAACGTTACACTAGGATTTTCTCCTGTATCGTAGGGGCAGTTTACAAACATAAATTGCACAAGGACAAACATCCAGACCCGGAACAATTATTTGCAGGTCATATAAATACTTGTTCCGTGCGGGATTCGAACCCGCGACCCCCAGCGCAGCCACTCGTTGCTAAGCCACTGCGCCACGGAGTCGTCAGATAATTTGTATCTAAATATAATTTCCAAAACACACGAATTAAAAAAGGTCAACCAGGTACTAATATTAAAGAAGCTACTACAGCTTAGCAAAACACAAGAAATACAGCCAGCCAGCTCAAGCTGCGGCGAATAGCTACAGCGCTAATGTTCAGCTGGTACCAAAAGTTTCGTAGAACTCGGCGTGAGGACTAATTTATTGGCTCTAAAAGTAAACAAAATAGCACGAAACAACAAAAATAAATCAAGAGAAAAATATAAGAGAAACAACTTATCAATAAAACCGCTACAAATAGAATAAATCTGGACATTAATGCAGCCCTATTCAAACAACGATATCCACATTAATGCTGCCATTTCAAAAGATTAAGATAAAATGCCTTACAGCCTAACAGGCTGTCAATCTGTAATTGTACTGGCTCTCACAACTGTCAAATCGAGACACTAGCACATGTACTACTGTTTGGCGACAGAAATAGGTAAGTTTTTTTTTTAAATAAAAGAGTGATAAACGAGCTCACAGTTCACTAGATGGTAAGTGGATATCGTGATCCGTAGAAATCTACAATCGATTAAGAATTTAAAATGCAGATGCGTTGACAACCCTGAGGACTTAAATGGAATACCTCGTTACCAGTAAACATTGTCTGCGATTCTTTACACTCACCATACGAAATACAGCAGGACTATGCTGCTACATTTCGCGCTGTTATCCTGGTATAATCAACGAAAGAAAGAAGCATTTATTGCAAACACGTTACACAAATAATTAGGTACTTAAAATTAAATATTTGTAAACACCTTAATTAAAGACATAACTGAATTAAAAAAACATCTTGACGGATATAAAATTTAATAAAAGTATGTACAAATATAAATTACAAATAAAATACGTTCCTCGTGTGTGTTACGGCGCGTTAATCAAATAGACTTCACTCAGAAAGAATAAAATAAAAACTAGTCCCACTACAAAGTGTGTTGTAAGCGTTTATAAAAAAAACTTACATTGTTTTATTTTCGTTCTTTTTCAACAATAATTACTAATTAGGATTTGTTTGTTTTGATCATTTGAGCAGGATGCGTGTGTACCTTACTGTTCATACTAATTTGTTGGCGCGGGCAGAATAACAGCTTTGTTGACAACTGCAACATTTATGTATGCTGAGCTATATGGAGATACTATGTAATTCTGGTTATTTTCGTGTGTACTACTCATTATAATTACCACCAATACCACACACACACACACACACACATATATATATATAAAAGTTAAAGAATATGCACTCCCCCATATCGTTCCCTGAAACGAGTAGATCGGCAGAATCGTCTTAATAACTAGAAAATTAAAAACTGATTTTGCCAACTCCCCTGCCAAGCGTCGCTACTATAGCAAACTCTCTCCTGAGAGGAAATTTTTAGGAGAGGCCAATGTTTAGCTGTGGATTTTTATAGGCTCTAATAAATGGATAATGGAACTTGATTCAATACACTTCCATCAGTGCAAGCTTGCTTATGGTGGTTGGCTTCTTTACGACGTTTGATGTTTTGATACATTGAATTTTGTAAATGTATCAGTATGGATTGTAAGCAAATATCTTTTTATATTAATGGGTATGTTTATTAGAAAAAAGCGCTAGGAAGCGCTTGTAAGCAAAATGGCGAAACTAAACAGTTTTCGGCCGGGACACTTTTGCTAACTTCAGTAGCGCTCGCGCAATCCGCCATTTTGCTTATTTATTTTGTTTGTTTTGAAGTAGAGTTTAAAGTAATATAATGACATGAATAAACATATTATACATGTTATTAAAAATTCATGATTGGTAAGTTTTAATATGAATACTTTACAAACATATATTTAAATTAGGTTAGGTTCCTTGGTTAAAGATAACTTAGTGTCCTAGAGGAAAATAGCTATTTATCATTTGACAGCGCTTGCCGCTTACGATCGCCATTTTGCTTACAAGCGCTTCCTAGCGCTTTTTTCTGCCAAATATAGCCAATTTTTATTCGTGTAGTAATGGCGGTGTAAGAATATCCACTAACCCATATCGCCCCGTGAGGGTCGTCAGAGGCGGCAGAGGGTAAAAAGTCAGTTGTCAGTTGCAAACCCGCCTAGCGTGGTAACTATGGCAAAATATGAGTCAATCTATCGGGGAGGCCTATGTCTAACAGTGGACTTTTATAGGCTATAGTGGGGCGGATTAATCGTGAATTCATAGGTTACTTATTGTTATCATAATGAAATCAAATAACGGAGTTGCGGAGTGAGTCACGGCGAACGGAATCAATTCCGACTGGAAATGGTTCCCTCTAGAGATACTCAACTGCACTACAAGTACAGTGTAGATATTATTAAAATAACAAAAGAACCAACATTGCACCTGATGTTATTGTTGATGTTATTGCAACAGAATACCTACATCCGACAACCTGCTCGATTGATTCAAGCACCGTAGGCCACAGATGCGTTCAGTAGTCTCTTGTCACCAAGCATGTAATTATACGAACTCTATATAACTTTTAATGCAGATCATTCAATAGGGTTAGTGCTGTTTAGTTTCTAAATTAAGCAATTTAGTTGCAGAAAAATTAAGAAGGTGGTTATTACCCACAAGTGATGGTTATTAGCGGTGCCAAGTTGACTGTCGATATATATCGAAGTGCTGAAGTGTTTATACAGTAGGGCTACGATGGCTATCCGAGTACAGAACCAGAGCACGAAATCTATCAAACTGCAGAGAGGTATAAGACAGGGTGACGTTATATCCACGAAACTCTTTACCGCTACATTGGAAGACGTTTTCAAGCTACTGGACTGGAAAGGATACGGTATTATCATTAATGGCGAGTACATCACTCACCTTCGATTTGCCGACGATATAGTCCTTACGGCAGAATCGCTGGAGGACCCAAGCACTATGCTCAATGACCTCAATAGTGTTTCCCAACGGATATGTCTTAAGATGAACATCATCACAAAACAAAGATCATGTTTAACGTCCATGTCACCACCTATGCCGGTAGTTGTTGGGAGCACTAAACTCGAAGTTGTTGACAAATACGTTTACCTGGGACAAATAGTCCGACTAGGTAAGTCCAACTACGACCGAGTGGTCACTCGACGGATTCAACTCGGCTGGGCAGCGTTCGGGAAATTACGATACATCTTCTCTCGTCAGGTATACCTCAAAACCTGAAAACGAGACTGTACAACCAGTGCGTGTTGCCAATGATGACTTACGGATCGGAGACATGGTCCCTTCACTGATGGCCGTATGAGTCCGCTCAAGGTCGCTCAGCGAGCTATGGAGAGGGCTATGCTCGGGATTTCTCTGTATGTTAAACTTAGAAATGAGGATATCCGCAGTAGAACCTGAGTGACCGACATAGCCCAACGGATTAGTAAGTTGAAGTGGCAATGGGCCGGCCATACAGCTCGAAGAACTGACAAACGATAGGGAAAAAAGGTTCTCGAGTGGCAGCCTCGTACCATTAGGCGTAGTGTGAGGCAACCCCCCCACTAGATGGAGTGATGACCTGGTAAGACATGCAGGTAGTCGATGGATGCAGGTGGCTCAGGACCGTGCTTTGTAGCATTCCTTGGGGGAGGCCTATGTTCAGCAGTGGACTTGTGAAGGGCTGTAATGATGATAATGATGATATTACCCACAAAAGCTTCAGCGTAGTATCTCTCTCTCTCTCTCTCTCTCTC